TAGCAGCTAACAGCAGCAGGCCAGCTAATAACTGTCTGCTTAGTCTGAGCTGCAGTGACACTATGACATTCACTGCTATTATCACTGTCTCTTTTACTGGATGAAAAGTTGATTTCCTATATAAAAGTTTGAAAACGTACATGTTGTTTGAGGCTAGAAGTTGTTCTCAGGACATTTAAGACAGCAAAGATTGAGCCATTGCTAAACAGGAACTTGTTTTTTTCCGTTTAAAGTGAAACCACAGCAGCCCTGTCCATGTATGTTTAGTCAGTTTATAGCCTTTTAAACGTTTGTTAACGAGGTATAAGTCAGCTCTATTAACCATTGATTTAGTCCCCGTGTGTTATTAAAACAAACAGTCATTGTGAGCATTACAGAAGGCTATAAATAAAACAGAAGCAATCAAATCACGACGGTGCAACTTCCCTTTTCTGTTGTTTTTTTTCTTCAGAAATCTTAGTTGTTGGTTTTGCTCTTCTTTTTTTTTTTTTTTGCACACAATCGAAATTAAATTTCACGTTCAGATTTTTGATCAGATAGCCAAAGACAATGAAATCAAACCCAATGTACAGTATGTAATGTGGACTTAAGATCTTTGCAAAAGATTTATCACTTAAATGATCCACATGTTGTCATTTTAAAAGCCCCAAACTACTATTTTTCAAGTGGGGGTTTATAGTATAAACACAAATGTGTGTATCATTGAATAGTGACATAGATTTCTTTTCATTAAAAAAAAAATCAAAATAAGTGAGATTACCTACTGAAAAAAATATCTAAACCTCCATCCACTGTCTCATTTGAATCTAATCCGCTTCCTTATATGCTGAATATAACCTCTACATCATGATGCAGCCAACACCATCATCTCTTACTCTTTACCACTGAATAATTATGCAAATATGTATATTTGTATCACAGAAATGCTCCATAAAAAGCACTTTTTTGGTTATTCTGTGAGAAAATGTGAACAACCTAAATTTGCAAGGCACTTTAGAGGCTCCTGACTGTAATGCAAGGTGACTGTGTTTGGTAACAGGAAAACCGCAGTGAGCAGCCACCACTTATACATGTAAATTGTATCTGATTTCTTGATAACCAAGCCAATAAAATCTTGTCTCATTCAAATGTCTTTCTAGCTAGACACCCTGCATTACAGGAATACACCAAAGCTACCAAAAGTGACCCCATCCAAAGTGCAATGTGGCTGTACGGGTTTTATTTTTGTCATAAACTATTCTGGATATTACACAGGACCAAACTACTTAGCTCTTTGCCTATTAATAGACATCCATTCCAGAGCAGCGTGGTCCAGACAGAGAGACTGTTGAAGTCATGTTGGAAACACTGTAACCAAGCAGAGACAGACTCAGATAATACAGCCTTCACGTCTGGGCTTTTGACATGTTTCTGCGGGGGTTACTGTGTTTGTTGACATTATCTTAAAGTGAACAGCATGTCTTCAGTGGGTGTTTACAGTCTTGTACTTTCAGCTCACATCCATCAGATATGAGATAATGCATTGCTTAGTATCTGTAAAGGCATAAGTGGGTTTTGAGGACATAGTGCAGTGTCTTACTCCTATAGTTATTGAATTGAGAGGCTGCACGTGCTTCTGATTGTTTCACAAATCAGGGGGAAAACAAAATAAAACGTCTGGCTGTCTGAAAATTGCCTGCATTTAGTAAAACAGAGCTTCATTCTTTTCCTTTTGCTAAAGATGCATTTTGGTTAAGAAAGTGAAAGCTTTTCTGTTCAGCAGTGGCATGCATGTGACCAGACAAAGGCTTTAAATGTGCATTGCTTATTTTACAGTTTCTATAGTTGGTCTCGTTCGTAGCAGCGGAAATTCAACCACCTAGATGAGATCTTATAATTGATAAGCACTTTAGATGAGAACTAAAATGTCTCTCTGTAGGCGAACAAACCTGTTTTATTTAGGACAGTTTGCTACAAAAGGGGGGAGGAAATAAACGACGGGAGATGTAATAACAGGAAACTGCAGAAACTCAGTCAGCCAAAGTGTTTGCGTCTTTACGAGACAAAAAGAAAACCTCAGTCTTCAGATATAAACCGATCAAAGTCATTTACTTTCACTGTAATTCAGCATGTATTCTGTCAAGTTACATGTTACCCCCCCATGCAACTCAATTCACTGATGGAGAATCCTTTTTCTGTTTCCTTTTCCTTGTGCTTCACAGAGCGAGCTAACCTGCCGAGGAACATGATCGAGAACAGTATGTTTGAAGAAGAGCCTGATGTGGTGGATTTGGCCAAAGACTCAAGCGCATTTCCAGTATGCCAGTTTCCTATTTTGTTGATTAACAAAGGTCCAAATTGCACACATTGGCAGCCTTTTGCTAAATATGATGGTTGCTACAAAGGTCCACCAAACTGCTGTGGTTAATGAAGATGAAAAATAAACGTAACGGATTATTAATAAATAAAAATAATTGAACTTTATTTATCTCACAATGGAGAAATTTACTTCTGCATTTAACCCATCCCTTTGGGGAGCATTGGGCTGCCATTGTGTGGCATCCTTCCAGCCTTCTCAGAGCAAAAGTGCACTGCTCTAACCACTAGGCCAACACGCCCCCAAGCTACCAATCAGAAACTCCATGATGGCTCCTCATATACAGACTGAATTACTGTGTTTTGTTTGAGTCCTATTTATATGAGATTGGAAAAGTATCCCTTTACCCTTGAATCGGGATGGTATGTTTAGGAAGAACAAAAATATGAACTACAAAGAAAATTATACATGATTTGTCAGATTCTTAGAAAGAATCTAAAAGGTTTTGCATGCTTTTTTTTTTTTTACCAATTAGTATTTGTAAAACCTATCATACAAGGCGAGACCTGCAAACTTTTAAGTTATCAGGATTTCACTTTTAAAATTGTTGCCCTTTCTCGTTTTGAAATAACTCAAGCTCAATATGTTTAGACTGAAGGCATACACTCACCGGCCACTTTATTAGGTACCCCATGCTAGTAACGGGTTGGATCCCCTTTTGCCTTCAGAATTGCCTCA